ATCGTCGACGGGGTGGTTGCGGCTGGCGAGGCTCGATGTTTGCGCCCGAGCCGACCCTATTCTGAAATCTGGGATCGCATTTGGTTTAAGTTGGGGGACCTGGGGGCCGGCGGCGTTTCGGTTCGCTGGGTTCCGTTTCGCGGAAGCTGGCCAGATGCCCAGAGACGGGGCGTGCCATGGCCGTTTTTTCGAGGCAACGCTCTGGCGGATGAGTTCGCTGAGCGAGGGGCCAAAGCGCATCCCGGGGACGAAGACTGGGCCCGCGGGCGCGCTTTGGCCTGGTGGGCTAGCCGTCACGTTGCGTACTGCGTTGGTCGTATCTTGCGCCACTTGGCGCTCTCGGATTTTCCTGATGCGGTCCGTCCTAAGGCGGTCAGAGTCCGTTCTGACCCGCTCGACCTGGTTTCGGGCCCTCGGGGCCGCCAAGTCAAGCCTGTTCGCGGTCGCTGGGGGCGCGTGTCCTGCGGTCGATCGGCCTTGCATCGCTGCAAGGTTGTTTCTCGACCTTGCCCAGGGGCCCCGGACATTCCGTCTCGTGCCCACCCCTCCCATCGGTTGTGGTGGGCGGGGGGGCCCGCGGACGGAGTTGTTTGGTGCTCGCGCTGCGGTGCGCATGGAGCCCGGCAGCTGCCCGAGATCGGCGGGCCCTGCGCCCCTCCCGCGGGCTGGGGCCGCCGCTCGTTGAAGGCGCTGCGGAAGGGCAAAGACCCTTCCTCGGGATGCCTCCTCCCTCGCCCCTCTCCTGTCTCCCCTCCGCGGGGGCCTCGGTCGCCGGGCTGGGCGGGGGGCCCCGAGGAGTTCTATCGCGCGTTAGGGTGTGGGCGCCCCTCTCGCGCCCCCTCGTCCTCGCGGGCCCGCCCCGCCAGGGGCGGGCGGGGCTGCCGCGGGGCCCGGCGCGGCCTTCTCGGAGGCTCCCCCGGGCCTCTGGGGAGATCCCCGAAAGCCTCATGGGGTCGCGATAGAGCGCTCGCCCAGCTAGGCGCGCGAGTCGGATCGTTTGTGGCCCGTTTTGCGCGGTGCAGCCCCCGCCCGACTAGCTGCGCAAATCGGACCTTTGTTGTGCCTTTAACGCAGTCTGGTCTCGCCCAGCTAGCTGTCAAATCGGACCTTTTGTGGCTTGATTGCGCGGCGCAGCCCCTGCCCAGCTATCTGCGCAGCTCTGACCGTTAGTGGTCCGTCTTGCAAGAACCAGCCCCCGCCCAGCTAGCTGCGCTACTCGGGCCCTTCGCGGCGGTCGGTTTAGCGCAGCTCGGCCCCGCCCAGCTAGCCATCGCATCGGACCGTTTGTGATCCGTTGTGCGCCGTGCAGCCCCCGCCCAGCTAGCCGCGCAATTCTAGCCGTTAGTGGTCCGTTTGGCGCGGGGCAGCCCTTGCCCGGCCATCTGCGCAACTCGGGCCCTTAGTGGCGGTCCGTTCAGCGCAGCTCGGCCCCGCCCAGCTAGCTGCCAAACCGGGCCGTTTGTTGTCCGTTTTGCGCGGCGCAGCCGCCGCCCAGCCATCTGCGCACTTTTGTTAGTGGTCCGTTTGGCGCGCGACAGCCCCCGCCCAGCTAGCTGCGCGCACCGGGCCCGCAGCATGTCCGTCTACTGCCGCGCGGCCCCGCTCCGATAGCTGCCAGTTCGGGCTGTTTGTTGTCCGTTTTTCGCGGCGCAGCCCGAGGTGCAGTCCCCGCACAACTACTTGCGCAAATCAGGCCTTCTGTGGTCGGTTTAGCGCAGCTCGGCCCCGCCCAGGTTGCTGCCGCATCGGACCGTTCGTGGTCCGTTTTGCGCGATGCAGCCCCCGGCCAGCTAGCTGCAACCTCGGACCGTTAGTGGTCCATTTTGCGGCTAACGACCCCCGCCCAGCTAGCCGCGCAACTCTGTGACCGTTAGTGGCCCGTTTGGCGCGAAAAAGCTATGCTCAGCTAGCTGCGCCACTCAAGCTTTTAGTGGTCCGTTTAGCGCAGCTCAGCCCCGCCCGGCCAGCTAGCTGCAAAACCAGACCGGTTGTTGTCCGTTTTGTTTGGTGCAGCCCCCGCCCAGCTAGCTGCGCAATTCGGACCGTTCGTGGTCCGTTTTGCGCGAAACGGCCTTCCAGCCCAGCTAGCTTCGCACATCAGGCATTTCAATTGTCCGGTTAGCGCAGCTCGGCCCCGCCTAGATAGCTGCCAAACCAGACCGTTTGCTGTCCGTCTTGTCTGGTGCAGCCCCCGCCCAGCTAGCTGAGCAGGTCTAGCCGTTAGTGGTCCGTTTTGCCCGAAACGCCCCCCCTCCCCCCTTCCCCCCCCTTTTCCCAGCTAGCTTCGCACATCGGATCCTCAGTGGTCCGTTTGGCGCAGCTCGGCCCCGCCCGGCTAGCTGCGCAGCTCGGACCCTTAGTGGTCCGTTTGTCGCAGTTCGGCCCCACCCAGCTGGCTGCCAAATCGGGGCTTCAGTGGTCGCAGCGCCCCGCTTTCAGTCTTTCTCCTTTTACCATCACCACCAGCATCGCCATCATCATTCTCGTCATCATCGCCATCACCATTGTCGCCATCACCATCATCGCCATCACCATCGTCGCCACCGTTGTCATCAACATCACCATCATCGCCATCACCATAATCGTCATCGTTGTCATATGTATCGTCGTCATCGTCATCCGCGTTATCATCGTCATCAGCAGCGTCATCATCGTCGTCATCATCGGCGGCTTCGGTCGCCACGCCCAGTTCGACACCCCTTGCACGTTTCGTGGCCCCACAGAGAGCTCCACCGAAAGCCCCACTGGCAGGTTTCGGATGCGGTACCCGTCTCCATGTCGGCACGCCCTTCACACGCTTCGTGGCCCCACATGGAGCTGATCTGAAGGCCCCATTGGCCAGTTTCGTATGCGGTCCCCACCTCCCGATTTCAGCACACCCTTCGCACGCTTCGTGGTCCCATACGAAACTCCACTGAAGGCCCCAGTCGCAGGTTTCGCATGCGGTACTCGCCTCCATCGCTTTCGACACACCTCACACGTTTCGTGGCCCCAAAAGGGAGTTTCTCCGAAGCCGCAAGTGGCAGGGACCGCATGCGTTCTCCCGCCGATTTCGGCACCCCCCTCACGAGGATCGTGGCTCCACTGGGAGCTCCACCGCAAGCCTCAGCGGCAGGGGCCGCATGCGTCCCCCTGGCCGCCAAGGGTCTTCCATCGCGGGCTCCAGTGGCAGGGTTCGCGCAGCGCCGCCTTCGCTAGGACATGCGCCCGAGCCTGTCTTTTGGCTCGTCCCGATCCATCCGCTCGCTTGCCTCGCGGCACTTGCAGCTGCACATGATTAGGCCCTTTGCCAGGATTCTTTGGTTTGCTTTGATATCGCCGTGTCCGTCGTGGACTGCTCGTCTCTCTTATCTGGCAAAGCATTATGATGGACGCGTGGGCTGGTCGGCAAAGGCACTCGTGGCCCCTGCCACGATTCGCTGCGACTGAGTTCTCGACAACAGTCCACATGGTACAATCGGCGCCACAAGCGGTTGGACCCAGCAACCCAAGAGGAGGAAGGGAGGAGGATGACGAGGAGGAGGGGAAGGAAGAGGAGCCTCCCGGGGGCTGTAAAAAAACGCCATGGGGAACAGCCTCCAGGAGGAACAATGCGTGGACGGCCCAGCGATCCGAGGCCCCGACAAAATTGGAGCGGCCGGCTTTTGATAATGTTTGGCCTCTGGGCTTTCCACGGGCCTTGGGACCGTAAAGTATCATGTGCCATGCATCCACGTTCTTTCATGCTTTGCTGTATTAAATCCTGTTCTGTACTCGACGGGCTGGCGTGACGTCGTGACGCCTGTGACCTCAGATGCGTCGTCGATTATGATGTTCCTCTTTACTTGTGGTTATCTTGCGATCGAGCATGTTATATTATGCGCATCTCTTGCACCATATATGTTTAGATGTTATGGTCGGATGTGCTCTGTGACGCTATGTTATGACGTGATAGATCATGCCACGTTATGCTGTATTTTGATGTGTTCCGTGATGCTGTTGACAGTTCGGCTCAGTATAGTATAGTGTCATTTGCTATGCTAGTACGTATCGCTGTGCTTTGATGCCGTGTTATGACATGCTATGTGCTGCTGTTATGATATGATATGGTAAGCCCTGTCATTGTGTGTTATGATATGCTTGGTTATGATGTTATGTGTTATGCTGCGTTATGCCGTCTTCGGTTATGTTATGTTATGCTCTGGTATGTTATGTGGTACCATGCTTATTGACGGTTTGCTCTGTACAGTATACTATTAATTGTTGTGCTAGTATGTGTCGCTATGCACTGATGTCGTGTTATGAAATTGTATGTGATGCCGTGCCACGGGCTGATGTGTTTCCTCAATGAGTGTTAAGCTATCCTCGGTTAAGTTTTGTGATGTTGTGCTCTGTCGTCTTCTGTTCTGTCATGTTCTGCTCTTGCATTTTCTGTATTTTCTGTGATGACTTTAGAAAAGACCCAGGACGAGAGACCGACCCTATAGGAAAGTGGTATAGACCTCGGGGTCCGCGCATCGAAAAAGTATTTGAGCGCCGGAGGTGTGGGGAGCCTCCTGGGGGCTAAAAACAGCGAGACGCGCCAGGGAGGGCCCGCATTTTCTGTGTCTCTGGATGGGCCCCGTCCCACCCCCCCCTCTGGGCCTCCGCTCGGCCGAGCCGCCTTGCCGCTCCCCCCCCCAGGGAGGGCATGCCGAGTCTGGGCGCCCTGGACGCGGTCGCCGCCGCCGTGGTCGTCGACACCGCCGATGTCGCCGCCGCCGTCGTTCGGACGGGGCCAGGACGAGGATGAATCCGTGGCTCGGAGCGGTCCCGAACGCTCTCAGAGCGTGACGGAACACTCTGAGAAGGCCGCGGCGCCCGAGACATCCTCCAGAGCCGCCGGATCTCAGAGACTCTCGATTCATCCGCACCCGATTTTTTGTCCTCGTCCTGGCTGCGTCTGAGTCGTCCTCGTGGTATTGGTCGTCGCAGTTGTTTCCGCCGTCGCCAGCGCTTGCCGCTCGCGCTGCCGCTGGCAGGACGAGGAGGACGTGGGCCTTCCGGGCTCGCTGCTGGCCGCGGCCAGCGCGCCAGGGGTATCCCGCTCGTGCCGCGGTGGGCCGGGGCGTCGTCGTTGTCGTCGTCGCCGTCGTCGTCGTCGTCGCCGTCGTCGTCGTCGTCGTCGTCTTTGCCGTCGTCGTCGTCGTCGTGGCTTCGTCGTGGCTTCGTCGTCGTCGTCGCCGTCGTCGTCGTCGTCGTGGCTTCGTCGTGGCTTCGTCGTCGTCGTCGTCGCCGTCGTCCCAAAGAGATCTGAGGCTCCGAAATTTGAGCGGCCCGTTTTTGAACGTTTCGGCCTCCGGGGGCCCTTCACGGGCCCCAGGGCTTTCAGAAAACGGCTCGGGACTGGCCCGAACAAAACTGCAACGCCGCGATCTCAGCTCAGACATCCAGCTCTCCAACTGTTCCAGCCACGCGCAGAAGGGAGTAGGGCTTCGTAGCAGCACCCCCGCTTCTTACAAGGCGCGGGCCTACTCTGTAGACGTAAGGCCGGCGCCTTCTAAGAACCAGCATCCATCTAAGCAGCCCCCCCCCTCCCGCTACCCCCCTCTGCTCGCCGCCAACTTTCCCGATGTATGGACCCCCGGAGGTCCAGACCATTCGGCGTCGAAGTCCGAACCCTGCCCTCGCCTATCAACGATTCCGTCCACTCGATGGGCGGCGGGGGGAGTTTTGGAATTCGTCGAAAACGTGGCGGAGTCCTGACCCTACCCCGGCCTCCCATCGACTCGGGAGAATCGATTGTTGGTTGGGGTAGGGTTCGGATGTCTCCACCTAGACCACTCTGATAGTTTCTAGGGCCTCTGATTCGTTGTTGTCGATTCTGGGCTCGTTGAGGGCCTCCGGAGGCAGAAAACAGCGCCAAACCAGCCGCTCCAACTTTTGTCTGAGCCTCGGATCTTTGGGTGCGCTTCTATTCCTCCATTCCCAGGCTCCAGACGTCATGATTTTTTCAAAACGTCGACCCCTAGAGGACTCGGCCAATTTCCCGGTACTGGTTTTTCATCCCGAGTAGTTTTTGTTGATGGTCCCGAGGCCCCGCAAGGGCCCCCAAGGCTGAAAAGACAAGAAAACCTTCCGTCATGATTTCCTCATCTTTCGGTCGGGTGTTGCTGGAAATGCCCCTAGGTGTCTCCAGGATCCCCATGGAGGTCCCCACGGCCTCCAGCGCACCCCTCGCGAGGCCCAGAGGGCGCCAGTGGGCTCCAAAACGGAGCGAAACACTGGGGGTACTCTGGCCTATGGGGCCCCTTGAGCAGCCCCCGACTCGGGGGCCTGGGTCCTCCTCGTCCTCCTCCTCCTCCTCCTCCTGCTCCTCCTCCTCCTCCTCCTCCTCCTCCTCCTCCTCCCCTCCTCCTTGTCCTCCTTCTGCTCCTCCTCCTCCTCCTCCTCCTCCTCCTCCCCTCCTCCTTGTCCTCCTTCTGCTCCTCCTCCTCCTCCTCCTCCTCCTCCTCCTCCTCCTCCTCCTCCTCCTCCTCCTCCTCCTCCTCCCCATGCCGGAGGCTGTCGCCGCCCCCAGGGTGAATGTTGGTCAGGACGCGTGGGGCGCTGGTAGGGGCGTGCGCCGCATTGCGCACGCCCGACGAGCACCTGTCCAACGCCCCAGGGGTTAGGCAGTTGGGGCGACACCAGCAAACGAGTTCCCTGATACCTCGGTCTCAACGGCGGTCGGACGCACGCCACTGTCGCGAGGCAGTCGCCTCAAGGACGCACCCGGCGGCAAGGCCGGTAGTCCTGAGCGCTCGTTCGTCTCGGGCCCCCCTCCATCTTCCGCCGCTCCCTGGCGGCAAAGGCAGGTGTTGTCCCTCCTCAGATCCTGCGCGCTGGCCCCCGTCGCGAGGCAATTCCCGCAAGGACGCACCTGGCGGTAAGGCCGGTAGTCCTGCGCATTCTTTCGTGTGCCCCTCATCCCCCCTCCTCCGCCCCTCCACATTCCGTTGCTCCATGGCGGCAAGACGGGGGTTCGCGCATCCTCAGATGCCGCGCGCTTGCCCCCGTCGCGAGGCAGTGGCCTCACGGACGCACCCGGCGGCGAGGCCGGTATTCCTGCGCATTTTCGCGCATCCATTAATTTCCCCTCCCCTCCCCCCGCCGCTCGCCGGCGGCAAGACCGGGCTTCGTGCGTCCTCGGATCCTGCGCGCTGGCCCCCGTCGCGAGGCAGTTGCCTCCAGGCTCCAGGGCGCGCCCGGCAGCGATGCCGGTAGCCCTGCGCGCTCCTGCGTGCCCCCCCTTCACCCCCTCCTTCTCCCCCTCCGCATTCCGTCGCTCCCTGGCGTCAAGACCGAGCTTCGTGCATCTTCGGATCCTGCGTGCTGGCCCAAGTCGCGAGGCAGTTGCCTCAAGGACGCACCTGGCGACGAGGCCGGTAGTCCTGCGCATTTTCGCGCATTCTTTCATCCCCCCCCTCCCAGTTTCGCCGCCCCCTGGCGGCTAGGCCGGGTCGCGTGCATCTCGAGGTTTTGCACCTTCCCCCAGTCGCGAGGCAGTTGTCTCAGGGGCGCGCCCGGCGGCAAGGCCGGTAGCTAGTCCTGTTCGCCCCAGTCGCGAGGCTGTCGCCTCAATGACGCCCCCTGCGGCAAGGCTGGTAGTCCTGCGCGCTCTTTCGTCTCCGCCCATCCCCCCCGCTCCCCCTCCATCTTCCGCCACCCTCTGGCGGCAAGGGCAGGTGTCGTGCCTCCTCAGATGCTGCGCGCTGGCCCCCGTCGCGAGGCAGTTGCCTCAGGAACGCACCCGCCGGCACGGCCGGTAGTCCTGCGCACTCCTTCGTGTGCCCCTCATCCCCCCTCCTCATCCCCCTCACTCATCGCAGTCTTCACGCTTGTTTGTTCCAGATCCGTCTACCCGCGCCCATCTCCTTGGCTGCGGCCCCGGCAGCCCGCCCCCCCCTAAGCGGTGCGCCGTCCCGTGACCCGCACTCCCAACGCTTCGACCGTCATTCGCCAATTCTGTCATTTCTTTATTACAGTAGCAGTGGACCGGCCCCCTCCGGCGGCCACCGGCGCGGCGTCGGGGCCCAGGCGTGTTTCCAAGATGGCTTAAGAGGGCTCCGAGCCGCCCCTGGAGGCCCCCAAGAGAGCCCGAAGACGGCCAAAGACGGCAAGCCCCAAAAACATGTCAAGTACATGCGGTTTGGGACCCGCTTGAGGCTTCCTGGCGGCGCTCTTGCGGCTATTTTTAGGACTTCGGGCCCCTCCAAGACAGGGCCGGGTGCATTCTGCCACAAAAAGGCCCCTCGTGGCAGAATGGTGGGCCCGCGCCCAGCGGCGTCCTGGGGCCCTCTTGGAGCCCTCTTGGAGCTCCCTGGGGGCCCTCTTCGTGCCCTGTGGCACGACCCACCAAGGGTTCGGCAACCCCTGCCACCAGTGGCAGCAATCACGGGTGAGGATGCGTAGGACGAGACGGATCAGGAGGGGACGTTTCCCGCGAGACCCCGTTGTCATCGGGACATGGCCGTCGGTGGATGTGCCTTCCACTTTGAGTTGGCGCAGGCGTTTACTAAAGATTTGCGGCAGGCGCGTACGAACCATCAGCACCGCTTCGCTAGGGTGGGTGAGCCCAAACGCCCCTCCCGACACACAGGGTTATGCCTACCCTTAAGGGCATCAACATTACATTGCAATCCTCCTCCTTTTCCCTCCTCCTGCTCCTCCTCCCTCCTCCTCGTCCCTCCTCCTCGTATCTCTCCCTCCTCCTCCTCCTCCTCCTCCATCTCCTCCTCCTCCTCTTCCTCCTCCTCCTCCTCCTCTTCCTCCTCCTCCTCCTCCTCCTCCTCCTCTTCTCTCCTCCTCCTCCTCTTCCTCTTGGTGAGGGCCTGCGCCCAAAGCGAGCCCCGCTGGTCGCAGGGGCGGTGGAGCGACGAGGGGCGCGGAGGCCTCGTGAAGCTGTTCGCGCCGCCGGACGGAGGGGCGCTGCAGCGCTCCACCGCGCTGGGCGTGACCAGGCTCGTCCGCGCGCAAGGGGGGTCAGGTTTAACTCGGGCATGTCCCTCGACAGGAGGGAACTTAAAACATAGGCACACATCTTCAGTTAATAGTTGAAACTCATTGTTAGTATGTCTATTCGTATTATCATTCTTATTATTGTTGATATCATTATTGTTGCTTGTATGTGTCTTATTGGTAGCATCGGCATTCTGATTATTAGCTTTATAACCGTTGGTATGGCTATTAGTAGTGAGTGCGATTTATGTCGTATTAACAATTTATTGTTATTATTATTATCATGTATTATTCGACGCATCGTCATCACTATTTTTATTATTAGCCGCATCACTATTATTATTATGAGTATTATCATTTTCAGTGACACTATCATTCATTTAGGATCCATCGTGTGTTTAGTATTCGCATCACCATCACCATCATCAACAGTATTCTGATTGTTATTACCAATAGTATGGGTACTTGTTGTTATTAGCGTTATTATTATTAGGCTTATTACCATGTTCATCATACTAATGGTCACGATGTTTAAGTTTATCATTATTGTTCTCGTTATTATTCTTATCATTGGTCTTATTCGTATTACTGTTCCTAGGGAGCCGCATGCGAAGCCTGCCATTGGGGCCTTCGATGGAGCTCGTTAGGGGGCCACGAAACGTGTGAGGGGTGTGCCGGAATGGGGGTGGAACCGCATGCGAACCCTGCCACTGGGGCTTTCGATGGAGCTCCCCATGGGGCCACGAAGCGTGTGAAGGGTGTGCCGAAATGGGGAATGGAACCGCGTGCGAACCCTGCCACTGGGGCCTTCGGTGGAGCTCCCTATGGGGCCACGGAGCGTGTGAGGGGTGTGCCGAAATTGGGGTGGAACCGCATGCGAACGCTGCCACTGGGGCCTTCGGTGGAGCTCCCTATGGAGCCACGGAACGTGTGAGGGGTGTGCCACAGTGGGGGGGATGATGGGAGGAGGGAGGGAGGAGGGCAAGGAGGAAGGAAGGAACGCGGGGCGCTGTCTCTTCAGAACGACGACCCAACACCACAGGATGGTTGGGCCAAGCAAAACACCTCGGATGACTGGGGGGGCGGGGGAGGGCGTTTTCGCCGGTTCTTGATGGAGGTCTCTGTCGGCCTTTCGTTTTTTCTGCGCCCTGGGATGCTCTGCAGCATATACTCTTCGCCAGGAGCGTTCCAGGGCTGCCCGAATCGTCCCGAACGGTCCCTGGAGGCACAGTTGATGACCCGAAGGCCACAAGACGTCAAAGGAGGGGGTGAGGATTGCAGTGGGGGGCCCATGCCAAGAAACACCCTGCTTGCCTCCGGGGTGCCCTGGGTTTCTTTGGTTTCGATGGCTTTGCCATGGAAAGCGTGACGTTCCCACACCAAAAGTCAATGGTCGCCCTGAGGTCTCAGGGTTGGGTTTCTTGTGGAAGGTTTCTTGTGGACTGGCCTCCACTGAAGGGGTGTGTGGATGTCATGGCCGGGGTGACGACTCGTATCCGCTTCGACTGCCTCCTCTCGGAGCCTTGGACTGCCAGTACCGCGAGTGAGGTGCTACATGCTCCGAGCGCTTCGCCTTTCTCCGCGGCCGTTCTCCATCTGTTCCATTTGTGCAGGTGAGCAATCGGCTTCACTGCATCCTGGTTGTGGTCCCACGTCGCCGCTGACAAACACAGTTGTCTCGTCCCCTCCTCTCCTCTTACGCCTCCTCCGGTCATGCCTTTTCCCGTTGTTTCATCATTCGGTTTCTTTGCCGTGCTCTCTGTCATTCATCCTCCTCGTCCTCCGTTCATCCTCAGCATGTCATCCACTCTTTCTTGTTGTGTTTTTCACTCCTCCCCACCTTCAAGTCATCTCTCCCGGTCCGCCTCTTCGGGAAACGATCCCCATATGTTCCTGGCCTTACTCGTCTGACTTGCACGCTTGGCGTTGATGCTTCCGCCTGCCGTTTTTTCCCAACCATCCTGTGGTGTTGGGTCCTCGTTTTGAAGAGACGTCGCCCCGCGTTCCTTCTCCTCCTCTCCTCCTCTCCTCTCCTCCTCCCCCTCCTCCCCCCTCCTCGCTGCGTTTCACCAACCCAGTACAGCGTTTCGTGGCCCCATAGGGAGCTCCACCGAAGGCTCCAGTGGCTGCGTTCGCATGGCGGCCCCGCCCCTTTTCGGCACACCCCTCACGAGGATCGTGGCCCCATAGGGAGCTCCACCGAAGGCCCCAGTGGCAGCGTTCGCATGGCAGCCCCGCCCCATTGCGGCACACCCCTCACGAGGATCGTGGCCGCATAGGGAGCTCCACCGAAGGCGCCAGTGGCAGCGTTCGCATGGCGGCCCCGCCCCATGTCGGCACACCCCTCACGAGGATCGTGGCCCCATAGGGAGCTCCACAGAAGGCCCCAGTGGCAGCGTCCGCATGGCGGCCCCGCCCCATTTCGGCACACCCCTCACGAGGATCGTGGCCCCATAGGGAGCTCCACCGAAGGCGCCAGTGGCAGCGTTCGCATGGCGGCCCCGCCCCATTTTGGCGCACTCCTCACGAGGATCGTGGCCCCATAGGGAGCTCCACCGAAGGCCCCAGTGGCAGCGTTCGCATGGCGGCCACGCCCCATTTTGGCGCACCCCTCACACGGCTCGTGGCCCCATGGGAGCTTCAGCAAAGGCCCCAGTGGCAGCGTTCGCATGGCGGCCTCGGGCCATTTCGGCACACCTCTCACGAGGATCGTGGCCCCATAGGAGCTCCACCGAAGGCCCCAGTGGCAGCGTTCGCATGGCGGCCACGCCCCACTGCGGCACACCCCTCACACGGTTCGCGGCCCCATAGGGAGCTCCAACGAAGGCCCCAGTGGCAGCATTCGCATGGCGGCCCCGCCCCATTTCGGCACACCCCTCACGAGGTTCGTGGCCCCGTAGGGAGCTCCACCGAAGGCCCCAGTGGCAGCGTTCGCATGGCGGCCCCGCCCCATTGCGGCACACCCCTCACGAGGATCGTGGCCGCATAGGGAGCTCCACCGAAGGCTCCAGTGGCAGCGTTCGCATGGCGGCCCCGCACCATTTCGGCACACCCCTCACGAGGATCGTGGACCCATAGGGAGCTCCACCGAAGGCCCCAGTGGCAGCGTTCGCATGGCGGCCCCGCCCCATTGCGGCACACCCCTCACGAGGATCGTGGCCCCATAGGGAGCTCCACCGAAGGCCCCAGTGGCAGCGTTCGCATGGCGGCCCCGCCCCATTGCGGCACACCCCTCACGAGGATCGTGACCCCATAGGGAGTTCCACCGAAGGCGCCAGTGGCAGCGTTCGCATGGCGGCCCCGCCCCATTTTGGCGCACTCCTCACGAGGATCGTGGCCCCATAAGGGAGCTCCACCGAAGGCGCCAGTGGCAGCGTTCGCATGGCGGCTTCGGGCCATTTCGGCACACCCCTCAGGTGGATCGTGGCCCCATAGTTGTGCTGCTTCAACAACCGCGCCTGGGCGTCGTACTCCGCCTTGTCGACGTGCAACGCCACCTCCTCCATGGCTCTCAAGGCCCTCTCCTGCTTCTGCTCCTCGGTGAGAGGGACGCCGTCCTTGCCGTCGTCGGCGCCCGCGCAGACGGCCACGGCGGGAAGCCGTGGCCACACAGGGAGCGCGGGCGAAGATGGTACTCACAATAGCGGTATTCACAACTGCATATGGTTGGGTCCTTTGTCGGGCTAATTTATGTTTCTCTGAACTGGTTCTTTTGCATCATGTGCATGATGCAATTCCTAGGAGGTTCAATTCGGCATCGGCACATGAATCTCCGTGGTCGAGTCGAAAACAGGCTTAACCGGGTATTACCTCATGCAATCCGGTTCCATCCCACTCAGTCCTGGGCCTAATCCGGCCCAGTCCAACTTAATGGTCTCTTCTATGTGATTCAGTAGCCTGCAATCGTTCTCATTATTACTAAGACATTCCAGGAATTGTTTCTTTTTGTTTTGCCTTCCATGCTCGAGGGGGCAAACGCGAGGCAGTTCTTCCTTCACGTCGCCAGCGGGTCCCTGCATGAGCAGAACGACCGGCTGTTCGAGGCGTTCCAGAGCAGGTATTGGAAGCCGCTGGGAAGCACTTTGGAGGGTTCCCGGTTCTCCGCCGTATTTCGAATTAGCGTGGCATGTACATGTATTTTAGGATATCCATCGCCTGGAGGATCTTACGAGCCTGGACCATATCCCTACACATACGCTGGACATTGCCTTATCTCGATGCTTATCGTATGTATTCCCTCAGTTTCTGAGGGCGCATCCCTAAAGATTGCCATCGCCTTTTGGAGTGTCAATCCCAGGGATAGGGATAAGTTCGCGGCTGGTTGGATCGATCCTCGGGGACCTGGGAAAGCTGTGGACATGGATTAGAATTCTTCCTTTCGCGATGCGGATCTGTGGATCCGTGGTGCACAGGGGTCCATGCTCGTGTCTGTGGCCATGCGTTTCCGCGCGCGCGACATATGATGCAGCATGCACGAGGGCTCCGTTCAGAATCCTCCCACCCGACCTGTCCCCCACCACCGGGTAGCGACTGTTACCCGGGAGAGAGAAAAACACACATGGCCACGTGGGCCATGCGTGTCCGCGCGCGCGAAATATGATACAGCTTGCACGAGGGCTCAGCTCAGAACTGAGCTAGTTTTGGAGAGATACCCTGATCGGCGTCGCCCCAACATACTAATACTATGGGTGCATCGCCCACCCCCCCCTCCGCGCACCGTTGTATATGCGTCGTTGCGGGCGCTGTCTGGCCACACCGCTCGGGAAATGATCCATTATAAGATGGGTCTACTATATGTTTGGGTCGGATGCGCGCCTCCATGGCGAAAGTATAGTACTAGTCTCTATGCGTCCCTCTTTCTGTCTTTCGGGTCTGGTCCCTCCGCCCTGGAGTGCACCCCGTGATTGGGGTGTCTCTCCATGGGGCCCTGGGCCTTTCGCGACGAGGTTCGTGCTCTCCCACGATCCTGTGTCGGCGGTGAGCCAGGGTGCTTCCTCCTTTCCTCCTCATCCTCCTCCACCACCATCTCCTCCTCCTTTTCCTCCTCTTCCTCCTCCACCTCCTCCTCCTCCTCCTCCTCCTCGTCTACTCGGCGGCGAGCTTGGGGGCAATTGAGAAGGTGCGGGCCTTTTCCGAAGGCTCGGAAGTTTTCTGGCCTTCTGAGACGTTTTCTAAGCCTTCCGCGAAGACACATCACATTTTTCTCAGAAGGCGCGAGGGCTTCTGAGAAGCCCCGCTGTCTTCGGAGGAGGCCTGATCATTTTCGTTCCCCCACCTCTCGCTCGCCGCCAACTGTGGCCAAAGTTCGACTGTATCTGATGCAGGCATACGGTAGCGGTGCAGGGAAGGAGGGCGTGGCCAAGACTTCTTTTGTTTGTGTCCGCTGGCGTGCTGGTGTGTGTGTGTGTGAACTCCTTCAGCCGAGTCCTTGTCCGTGTCCGCTGGCTCGCTGGCGTGTTTGGGGGGGGTCGTCGTGAACTCCTTCACCCGTGTCCTGGTGTGTGTGTGTGTGTCCTTTCAGTGTGTGTGTGTGGGTTTGACAGGTTTGTTTGTGTCCGCTGGCGTGTGTGGGGCAGGAGCGGCTCATGGTGGTCGTCAACTCGTATTTCAACTTCCTGAAGTTGCGGCAGCGCCTCCGCTGGCAAACATCCGTCGTCCGGTTCTGTTGGTCTGCGCGTTCGTCGCCAGGAGGGACACGGGTCCTGAGGGAAATGGGTTCTGAGGCTTTTCGCTGTTTTCGGGCTCTCGGGGCCCTCCACGGGCCCCGGCAGCGTTAGAAGACGACTCAGGATGAAGATCTCGTACTGGGGGAAGGCCTCAGGGTCCAGGACCCGTTTCCTTCAGCACCCGTTTCCTTCATCTGAATGGTTTGTGTATTCGGTTGTTTTTTTCATTCGGTTGTTCTTCTTTTGGAGGGAGGCAGTCGAGACAGCAGCGGTCGTCCCTTTCGTTTTTCGTTTGTTTTGTTTTGGAATTGTAAAGGGCTTCCAGTCGCCACGGCTGGGTCTGCCTCAAGCAACTGCTCAGGAGGAACACAGGAAG